TTTATTTATATATTTATTTATTTATATAACAGAATTTAATAATTTAATAACTAATAATTTAATATAAAAAAATATACACACTTTTAATTAAATTATATATAAGTGACATTTCAAATATTTGTCGCATGACATTACATTTAGATTGACGTTTTCAGTATTTTGCATCAAACCATGAATGAAGTAAGTGGAGGAAAACAAGATGTACCCAATGCCTCAAATTGGGAAGCCTTATCAGGACAGTCGGTGTCTTCGTTGCCAGCCATGCATCATCACCATCAAACGCTACAGCAGGATACAAATTCAACAGTAGCACAAGTTATAGTTCCTACATCTGTTAAGCTTCAAACCCCCATATTAACATCTACGCAAACTGTAACCGATCATCATTGTCCGCAACTTAGTCATATACAACAACCACCTCTTATAACTCAGGTATATCAAGAAAAATCTTACAAGTTTATAATGATTTTAATTTACTTAAATTATAGGGCTGATTTTTCTTTTTCTTTTTTATAGGGGACATCACCAGGAAACATTCCGGAGCTTGAATTATCTCTGGAACTTCAACAACAGGGTTGGAAGAAGTTTTGGAGTAAACGGGAAAATCGGCCATATTTTTGGAACAAATTGACAGGAGAATCTTTATGGGTAGTTCCTTCTTTGAAACCTCAGGTATTATAGAATCATAAAAATAGTTATATTTTATAATAAAATAAAATGTAATATATATATGTATCCTAAAGTTTGATCCAATCACGGATCCACTTGGCATTTGTGGTGTACCACCTCCTGGAAATGGAACGATTCCAGTTATCCCAGGTTCTACTTTAAAACGAAGAGCATCGGAAGATGGAGCTGTTCCACCAGCAAAGAAATTTGTATTGGCGTATGTATTTGATTTTATTAAGATGTTAAAGTATATTTACAGACAAAGTAAATGAATAATTTGTTTATCATTATGTTTTAGAGGCCCGTGGGATTTGGAAATACCTACGAATGTTATAATATATGAGCGAGCACCATCAAATTTGATGCACGTTCATCCTGAAGCAGAAGCTCTGCGCTGTGCTTTGCTAGCCAAGCTACGACAGTGTTACCAAGAGTTATGTCATACTCGTGAATCTATAGACGCGCCGAAAGATTCCTTCAACAGATGGCTGATGGAACGAAAGGTCATTGATTGCGGCTCAGATCCGTTACTACCAAGTCAATGCTTCCCTGAGATTTCAATGTCCATGTATCGCGAGATTATGAACGATATTCCTATTAAATTGGTAAGGCCGAAATTTACGGGAGATGCAAGAAAACAATTGTCACGTTACGCTGAAGCGGCGAAAAAGATGGTAGAATCAAGGGCAGCATCGCCTGAAAGTCGGAAAGTAGTCAAGTGGAATGCGGAGGACACTTTCCAGTGGTTGAGAAGAACAGTGGGCGCCACGTTTGATGATTTTCAGGACAGGCTCGCTCATCTGAAGCGACAATGTCAACCACACCTCACGGCAACCGTTAAAGCCAGCGTTGAGGGCATATGTTTGAAAATTTATCATCTGTCGACGGAATATGCGAAAAAGGTGAAAGATAAAAATAACCAAATCCTTAAAGATAATGGTTTGGGGGATGTTATACCGTTAGGAGGTCCTATTAGTACACAAAGAAAAGTTTGGTGTTATCCAGTGCAATTTTCCCTTCCCACACCGAGACTTCCACAAGTGGATTATCTTCCTGAACGCGAGCAAATAATGCTACGCTTTCACGGTGACACCATGTATATTAATAACACGCATTTTGCTAAACTGGAACATTTATATAGGTATAACGGTTTTGATGATAAAAAGTTTGAAATGTTTCTGTCACGCGTTTGGTGTATGTTGAAACGCTATCAGACATATTTTGGAATCAACGAGGGCCAAGCAACTCAGATGGCTCTTCCGGTGACGGTTTTTGAATGCCTTCAGAGATCGTTCGGTGTTACGTTTGAATGTTTTGCCTCGCCTCTAAACTGTTATTTTCGACAATATTGTTCAGCGTTTGCCGATACGGACTCATATTTCGGATCGAGGGGACCATTCTTGGATTTCAGGCCAGTCAGCGGATCGTTTCAAGCAAATCCACCATACTGCGAGGAACTTATGGAAGCTATGGTCAACCACTTCGAGCGTCTTTTGGCTGATTCGGCAGAGCCTTTGTCGTTCGTGGTATTTTTACCGGAGTGGCGTGATCCGGCTCCTAATGCGCTTATAAAACTCGAGGGTAGTCACTTTAAACGTAAACAAGTAGTAGTACCCGCTATGGAACACGAATATCGACATGGATTCCAACATATTCTTCCAAAGTACGTTTATTCAAATTAAAGGATTCCACGTTAATTATATGGAGAATTGGTTTGAAATCAATTTTTTATATAATGCTCACATAATGTGGTGAACAAAAGATGTTACAGATAAGAGTCAAATGAATAGTTTTGAGCTGATATATTAAAGGTGTAAAACTTGCTGCAAAGATGCTCTGTGAGTACCATATCATGAAGTGAGCACCATAGTTCAAAAACTATTTTGAGTCTTATATCTGTAATATCTTTTCTTCATTACATTATAAGTTATTATATGTAAAAACCAATTCATTTCAGTAAGATCCAATTTTCTATATAATTAATGAGGTCCTTTATATTGATTAGATATGTATATGATATATATGAAAAAAATGTTGAATTGTTTTTTCTTCATTCCAGAGGTGATGTAAACATTCGAGCGGTACACGGCACGCTAGTTGTATGGTTACAAAATCCAGCTGGTGCTGCACGTTGGGGACCTACCGAAGAGCGAGTCGAAGCGTTATTGGAAGCATGGCGACCCGGTCGAGAACGAGAAAGAGATAGGCAAGAGCTCCTTTCTCCGCCACGACAAACGCATCAATCGATACCGTCAACGCCTGTACCGACAACACTAATTACGCCGACGGTGCCATCTGTACAACCGCTACCAAGTCATCCTATCTAATTAAGCGATACAATTTAGTTAGTGATATAATCTTTGTGAAATAGAGAAAACGTATAAGTAAAAAACAGGAAAATTATTTCCTATATTTGGAGATAAATATGATTTATCTCTTGTAAAATATAACTTCTTTGTTAAGGAAATTTATTTTATACTTTAGCAGATATAAAATTCAAAAAGAATAAAATGTAAAAAATGAAACAAGTGTTAGGTAATTATATACAGAAAAATTAAACATAATAGAAATAATATAAACATTACTTTATAATCAATATTTTCACTGGATCGTAAAATTATCGGATATCTGAAATCTAGTCCGATATCTGATAGGATAATTATCCGGCCGGAAACCAGATATTTTCCATATATCTGGTACAAATTTATCAAAATTCTAAAAAAAGGGAAAGCATGGGAAAAATAGCGATAATAATTGACTGGCTATAGAACAGAATTTTTTATAACAATTTCAACATTGCTTAATAATCTCAAAGGTTAATATTAATAAAGTTTTCATAATGAATAATAATATTTTAGCATTTTTCGACAATCTATTTTGATTATCGGCATAAACCACTATAAGTGTGCAAAATCATAAATTGTACTTTTTAGCTGAAAAGAATAGAATTCTGCATCAATGATGCAAATTTTCAATATAAAATTTCAGCTGGACACACGCGCACACAACACACACACATATACACCTATATATATATATATATATATATATATGGTTATTGATGATTTTTTCTTGTGTTTAATGATATGATATGTGTT